GGTGGACCTTCGGCGCAGCCTGTGTTTCCTCACAGCCGCCGGAACTTTGCTCCGAAGTGTAACCGTTTGGTACACTAAGGTTTTGTGCAGTCGTACTAACGACCGTACCACAAGTGAGGCCATCGCACTCACTCGTAGTACATCCACACGCTTGTGGACGCTCCAAAACGTTCATCAGATGGCCATCTGATGAACAAGCGGCAGGCATCGTTACTGTCCGATGTTGCCAGTTTACCCGTGGTTCGTACCTTCTGAGCCACGGTATTCCAAGGATGACATCAAATTTGTCATCCAAATCCAATACGATAAAGTCATCGTCGTATTGGGTATCTTCTAGCGTATAGTGAATCTTCACTATACGCTTCATGACGGTTACGGATGCGCCTGTCGCAAGACGTACCGTCATCCTCGTAGGGGGTGTGTCACATTCACTGAATTTAAAGTGACCATCTTCTAGCGATTGGCGTCGCACAAAATTGTTGGACGCCCCACAATCGACTAGAGCTCGAAGGGACAACTTATTCGTCACTTCGAGTTTCAAGGTAATGAGTGAGATCTCATTACCTAGAGCAGCAACGCACAACGTCTGTGTGTTGGGAGCAACCTTCATCAAGAGGCCTACAAATTCTCTTGACGTTGCTGGATCAGTAGGGTGCTCCGCACCTACTGATCCTGTCCGTTTTTTGACGGTCCATCCCGTTGTTGCGTCTTTGCACCAACTGCGGACCCTCGTCCCTGCCCCTTTCTCATGGGTGGACGGTCACTACGCCCAGTGTCGCGAGACACTGGACGAGGGGCACTACACTCGTAAGCGTAGTGTCCTGTCTTTTGACATCTGTTGCATCTCTGCAACTTCTTGTAGCCTGTAGAGCGAGCCTTCTCGCTCTCTACATAACAGAGTTCCATCGGCTCTGGACCTCCGTTGTCATATCGTCTCGGTTGACGATATGATGTCGAGCTGGCGCGAGCCTGTCTCAGACTGAAGTCTTCCTGCTCCGCAATTGAAATGGCTTGTTCTAGTGAATCTAGTTCAAGCCGGAACAGGTGAGTCTTGACGGGACCATCCGCAAGACCCTGCATGAACACCGAAACCAACGTGTGTTCATCCACCGGATTGGAACTTATACAACTCGTGAGATGTCGTATATGTTGAGCGTAAGCGTGCACATCACGCTTACCCTGCTTGAGCTTCAAGAGTTCGGTTCGAGCTCTGAACTCAGCTCTAGGCGGTTCAAACGTTTGTCTGAGCCGCGACTTGAAGACTTCCAACGACCCAAACGCATATGGGTCGTGCAGCTTGAGCCCCAGTGCCCAAGTCTTGGCACGTCCTGCCAGATTTGACTGGGAAAATGCAACTTGCATATCCCCGTCGTCGATGCGACGCGCCCTTATGGCGTCATCCAATTCGACGAACCATCTCAAGAGGGAGTCTTCTTCGACCCCCCTATACTTTGAGATGTCAATCTTCAAAGTCTCGGGCCGACGCGAGTGCATCGACCCGCCAGCAGCAGCCTGCTGCTGTCTCAACAGTTCAAACTGTTGAACACCCTGTTCTCTCAACAACTCTGCTTGTTGAGAACCTTGTTGGTGAAGCAAGGCTACTTTCTCGCGTTCTGCGTCAAGTTCATTTTGAATGAACTTGGCGATAGTAGCATGTTGGGCATCTCTATTGAGAGCCTCTAGCATGACGCTAACAGCATGGATGCCCATGGTCGAACCCATTCGTTCAACCGCATCCCATTCGACATCGCTCAAATGGGAGTAGCCGTCACGCGTAGCGTGAAAGCTTTGGTCATCTTCATCATCCAACATATTCATGTTGGATGTGAACGCGGTCCTTGGACGGACTACGAAGTGCTACCAGGTGTAACGGGGCACCCTGAAGCTTGTACTGGTGACAGTACAAGCTACTTATTCTGATAACAGAATAAGGCGGTGCCTCGTAACTTCACGTACACTCGTACGTGCAGAGGAAGACGGTAAGAAGAAGCGAGTACTCGGTTAGAGTAAAAAGTAGAACTGTATTTATAATAGTTAATGTCTGCAATAAATCACTATTTATCTTCATCTAACTATGTCTAAATACAAATGTGTAAATCAGTTATCTGCTCACCACTCATTGCGTGCGTCTGTCGTGGCGCGTCTTCGTTGGTTGATATAATGGCCTATATCAACCAATTAGGAACTACTTGGAAGTGCTACCGAATATTGTCCTTATGACAATATTCTGAGAATATAACTCTTATAGTTATATTCTATTAACAATTTCTTATAAATTGTTATGTAACGATTCACCCCGTTACAAGAGTCATGCGGGCTCCTGTGGAGCGAGAATGACAAGACCTACGTGCTTGGCCAGTACGTCACTGGGACCGCCAAGCGTTATTTGAACAAGCAGGTTGACTTGTGGTGGAGTGTGGTGCCGAAGCTGCAGTACGAGATGCAACGAATGATAGAGACGATTGAAATTACTATCACAGCAGCACAAGCTATGAAGCTCTTCACGACGAAGAAAGAGAATAAGCGTTTGTAGCCGGAGCACTATCTGCATCTCGTGGCTGTCAGTGACGTCGCAGGTGGCGCGGAGCAATAAGTGCTGTACAACATCGACAGATACGCGTCGCCCGAGGTACCGACGATTCTCTTGGCTAAGTATGACACGCACCTTGTGGACTACCTTGTGCAAGCTGCGGAGCTCGCCCAATTAGCCCAAGCTATCGACCTGGAAGCTCGATCGGAACGCTCCTTCGGTTAGAAGGTTGTGGCGCATGTGGATGAGTCCACGATACTCAAGGACACACGCATTTGCAACGGATGCGGCAAGGTGGGTCACGTCAAGGCTAACTGCCACAGTAAAAGGACTGGCGGTGGTAATGTCGATTTGTCGCAGCAGGCGTGATGGTAACATGGTGCTTTTGGTTGGGGAAAAGGCAAAGGGAGTAAGGGTTCACATGCCATTAAGAAAGACCTGGCGACGGCGATAGGCGACGACGGTGAGACCGAGGCTGACGACTGGATACTCGACAGTGGCACCGGTTGCTACATCTTTAAAGATCGCACTCTTCTGCAGAACGCACGAGATTGTGTATAAAATTGTCTTGCTGCTAACGTCGAAACGATAAGACTGAGGCGGGTAGGTAACGTGGTGCTGGCGAAGGGCAAGCAACTAATTGTGACGTTGACAGAGATTTTCCTTGCGCTCAAGGTAGCACGCAACATTATGCTATACGGCAAGCTCGAGTGCAAGGGCTTTGGCCTTATTTACGATGGGGCGGCGCAGATTAAAGCAAAGACGTAGAACCAAAGAAGTAGAGCTCGATGTGTTGATAAAATTCGACGTGCTCTACGTGAGGACAGTGTAATCGTAACGCGAGACACAGGCACCACGAGATGTGATGATGGATATTTTGATGCAAAAAGAGTCGTCCGATGATGCGGATGCTGATGTACAATCGGGCTCCCTTCTATAATTTTACCAGCAAGTAGGTCATTATGTTTATGACAACGTCAAAAGGATGGCTAAGGACCCAGCGTCCGGCTTTAGGCGCACGGACAACGGACACCCATCTTGTATAACATGCGTGCAGGAAAACAGACGAAGAACGTTCAGTTGCGGAATGACACTGGCAACAATTTTCCTTTTGATCAAATTAGTGGACTGATTTGCTCAGATTTGAAGGTCCTGATGACTTCGAAGGATCGGATCTGCAACCCTTATCTTGTGAACTACGTATCTCACAAATTTTACTACGGTCACATTTTTCTGAGGCCTACGAAGGACAAAGCTGCAACTAAAATTTGAGAACTGTCTGGCCTTTTTCGAGCGCTGATTCGCATGTCGCGTCCTTGTGCTTCGATCAAGCGGTGGTGGTGAGTGCGCCAACGTTGACCTGTTCTGCAAATCGACAAATTAGCGAGGCAAGAAATCAGGCGTCCAACGGGAAAGCGGAGCACATGCACATGAAAGTGCTAAACATGACGCGCAGCATGATTTTTGCCGGTCTTCTTACTATGTCATTTTGGAGTGACTCCGTCGAGTAAGCTGCGTATATAATCAACCGCATCCCATCCCGGCAGGAACTTGCTGGCGCAACGGGCGTCAGTTGAAGTTATTATCGGTTGCAGTGATATGAAGAAGGGGTTCTGGGTGTAACGCAGAAGTAATCAAAGGTTACGGTCACACAGAACATGCAAAATATTTAAAATCTCAGCGAGGAGCAAAACAGTCAGCTTCAAAGTGCACTTGACTTCGAAGATCAGGCGACCGTGGCCGACGCACCAAGTGCAGATGCCAATGTGTCTAGCGCTATGCCTGTGACAAAGGATGCTGCAAGGGATGAGGTATCTGCACGAAGAGCTCTATTTTAGGGGAAGAAATTGAAGTCAAGGACGCGTGCAGCACACAGGAAGCGTAATGCAACGAAGCGCGCAAAGGGATCAGGCGACAAGGAGGAGCCAGCTCAAGAAGAAGATGTGTAGCACGAAATCTTGATAGCGCATGTATACGAGTGCGACCCCACGAACTATATGGAAGCGATGCGTAGCGCGGTCAGAAAGGGCTGGGAGATGACAATGTGAGAGGAAGTACAAGCTCTCGAGTAAAATGGCGTGTGGGTGGCGCCTGATCAAGAACCTACAGGAAGCAGCACACCGCACAAAAGTGGGTTTGCAGGACGAAGACCAATGCTGACGGACTCTTCGAGCCTCTTAAGGCAAGAATTGTGGCGTGTGGCAATTAACATGTTTTTGGGGATGACTGACAACTCACCATCGCGACCGTCATGGACATGTCGACGCTAAAGGTGATTTTGACGCTTGCAGCAATCTAGGCCGTGCCGGAGAAGCACGGAGACATCCCCAACGCCTCTATCAAAGCTGAAAAGGAAGCACACTTTAATGTTCTCCTTCATGTCCCCCAGGAGATGACCGTAAGCGAGGACACGCTTAAGACACTCGGCTCCGCGCACAAGTAGTGTGTCCTACTTCAGCTGTGTAAAGGCATGTATGGCCTCAAGCAGGCCGCGCGGTCTTGGATCCAGCTCTTGCACGCTCGATTGCAAAACGCTGGCTTCAGCCAGTGTGTCCAAGACATGTGTTCCCACTGGAAGATCGATGATAGCCAGCTGGTCGTCGTGGGTGTGTACGTAGGCGACCTGCTGGCCACCAGAACCAGCACAGCTGCTGTCTACCGTTTCTTCACCCAGCTTGAAAGCCCGTTCATTAAGGAACTCAGCATAGTCAGCAGGTTCCTCAAGATGCGCGTAGCGATCGACGGCAACGGAAGCTGCGTGCTAGACCGGTCGGAAGCCATAGGCGAGCTGTGGCGCTGGCATGGACTTAATAGAGCCAACTCGACTCGAGCCCCGATCAGGGCGGACTGCTATGAAGTGCACCCAGAAGACAGCGCGCTGTTGGGTGCGAGTGGAGAAGACGGGGGTCCGAGTATTCGGACCTTCCAATTCCTTGTCGGCAGTTTGCTTTGGGTGGAGCGCTGCATGTGGCTAGAAATTACGTTTGCCGTGCGTAGAGCAACGCATCAGACTCATCAGCCACGACTGCACAACCTAAAGCTCGCGAAACGGATCGCGCGCTGACTGAAAAGTACGAGAGACTTCACGCTGCGCATGAAGACGACAAAAATTCTGCTGGAAAGCTGGATCTCGAGTCCTAATCGGCCGCTGACAAGTCGGACAGGAAGTCCCTGACCGATGTCATCATCCGGATGAACGGGATGACGGTGAGCTGGACGGTGAAGAAGCAGGGCGTGGAAAAGTTTTCCACGATGGAGGCACAGTATGTGGTCGCGTCGGAGCAAGCGCGCAAGCCACTCGACATCAGGGAGATGCTGTGCAAAATTAGGAAGTTGCCTGTGCTTCCGATGCCGCTCCACGTCGACAACCAAGCAGCTTTAAAACAGTTGGCTGGTGAAGAATCGTCGCTAAAGCGAAGCACATCGACGTCCGCTTCAAATTCTTCTGCAACTACTCCCGACGTGGTGCAGTCGCGGCCCAGTACGTTCGCTCAGAGCTGCAACTGGCGGACCTGTTGACGAAGGCTCGGACACGGCAAAGCTTGCAAAATTGTGCAAGTAACTGCGACTGGAGTAAACATGCAGAGTCACGGACTAGGAGGAGCATTGGAAAAGAGCGTGTTGAACAAGGGTGTCATCGCAAGTACGATTGCGGGCGAAGCGCGCTAGACGATGACGGGAATGGCGACCGCTGATTTTGTGTTCGTAATGGGCATACGTTGTGCGACACAATATGCGGACCTTAGAATGGGTGGACAAGAAGGATAGCAATCGATTGGGCAGGAAGGATGGTGAGTGTAACGGGGTGAATCGTTACATAACAATTTATAAGAAATTTTCAATAGAATATAACTATAAGAGTTATATTCTCAGAATATTGTCATAAGGACAAATATTCTGTAGCACTTCGAGTAGTTCCTAATTGGTTGATATAGGCCATTATATCAACCAACGAAGACGCGCCACGACAGACGCACGCAATGAGTGGTGAGCAGATAATTGATTTACACATTTGTATTCAGACGTAGTTAGATGAAGATAAATAGTGATTTATTGCAGACATTAACTATTATAAATACAGTTCTACTTTTTACTTTAACCAAGTACTCGCTTCTTCTTACCGTCTTTCTCTGCACGTACGAGTGTACGTGAAGTTACGAGGCACCGCCTTATTCTGTCATCAGAATAAGTAGCTTGTACTGTCACCAGTACAAGCTTCAGGGTGCCCCGTTACACCTGGTAGCACTTCGTAGTCCGTCCAAGGACCACGTTCACATCTAACATGAATATGTTGGATGATGAAGATGACCAAAGCTTTCACGCTACGCGTGACGGCTACTCCCATTTGAGCGATGTCGAATGGGATGCGGTTGAACGGATGGGTTCAACCATGGGCATCCATGCTGTTAGCGTCATGCTAGAGGCTCTCAATAGAGACGCCCAACATGCTACTATCGCCAAGTTCATTCAAAATGAACTTGACGCCGAACGCGAGAAAGTAGCCTTGCTTCACCAACAAGGTTATCAACAATCAGAGTTGTTGAGAGAACAGGGTGTTCAACAGTTTGAACTGATGAGACAGCAGCAGGCTGCTGCTGGTGGGTCGATGCATTCGCGTCGACCCGAGACTTTGAAGATTGACATCTCTAAGTATAGGGGAGTCGAAGAGGACTCCCTCCTGAGATGGTTCGTCGAATTGGATGACGCCATAAGGGCGCGTCGCATCGACAACGGGGATATGCAAGTTGCATTTTCCCAGTCAAATCTGGCAGGCCGTGCCAAGACTTGGGCACTGGGTCTCAAGTTGCACGACCCATATGCGTTTGGGTCGTTGGAAGTCTTCAAGTCGCGGCTCAGACAAACGTTTGAACCGCCTAGAGCTGAGTTCAGAGCTCGAACTGAACTCTTGAAGCTCAAACAAGGTAAGCGTGATGTGCACGCTTACGCGCAACATATACGACATCTCACGAGTTGTATAAGTTCCAATCCGGTGGATGAACACACGTTGGTTTCGGTGTTCATGCAGGGTCTTGCGGATGGTCCCGTCAAGACTCACCTGTTCCGACTTGAACTAGATTCACTAGAACAAGCCATTTCCATTGCGGAACAGGAAGACTTCAGTCTGAGACAGGCTCGCGCCAGCTCGACATCATATCGTCAACCGAGACGATGTGACAACGGAGGTTCAGAGCCGATGGAACTCTGTTATGTAGAGAGCGAGAAGGCTCGCTCTACAGACTGCAAGAAGTTGCAGAAATGCAACAGATGTCAGAAGACAGGACACTACGCTTACGAGTGTAGTGTCCCTCGTCCAGTGTCTCGCAACACTGAGCGTAATGACCGTCTACACATGAGAAAAGGGCAGGGACGCGGGTCCGCTGTTGGTGCAAAGACGCAACAACGGGATGGACCGTCCAAAAAACGGACAGGATCAGTAGGTGCGGAGCACCCTACTGGTCCAGCAACGTCAAGAAATTTTGTAGGCCTCTTGAGGAAGGTTGCTCCCAACACACAAACGTTGTGCGTTGCTGCTCTAGGTAATGAGATCTCACTCATTACCTTGAAACTCGAAGTGACGAATAAGTTGTCCCTTCGAGCTTTAGTCGATTGTGGGGCGTCCAACAATTTTGTGCAACGCCAATCGCTAGAAGATGGTCATTTTAAGCTCAGTGAATGTGACACACCTCCTACGAGGATGACGGTACGTCTTTCGACAGGCGCATCCGTAATCGTCATGAAGCGTATAGTGAAGATCCACTATACGCTAGAAGATACCCAATATGACGATGACTTTATCGTATTGGATTTGGGTGACAAATTTTAAGTCATCCTTGGAATACCGTGCCTCAGAAGGTACGAACCACGGGTTAACTCGCAACATCGAACAGTAACGATGCCTGCCGCTTGTTCATCAGGTGGCCATCTGATGAACGTTTTGGAGCGTCCACAAGCGTGTGGATGTACTACGAGTGAGTGCGATGGCCTCACTTGTGGTACGGTCGTTAGTACGACTGCACAAAACCTTAGTGTAACAAACGGTTACACTTCGGAGCAAAGTTCCGGCGGCTGTGAGGAAACACAGGCTGCGCCGAAGGTCCACCACTCGAATAAGTCGAGTGGACCGGGACAAAGGTGTATCCCTAGCGGGGAACATCTAGAAGAGAAACAATCGATCGCTCAGGTTAAGCGAAACGATAATCCTAGATCGACTGGAGAGTCTTTCGTAGAGGATCTTGCTGTGGATGCGCAACCCCAGCTAGAGGAAGTTAAGGGAATAAGTCCCGATATTACAAATACGGCGGAAATAAGTTCCCCGAAACCCGCGGGAATAAGTCCCCGGGAAGCCGAAGGAATAACTCCTTCGAAGCCTGAGGGAATAAGTCCCCAGGGAATGACAGAGACATTGAATGTCAAAGTCAATAACGGATCAAGTGTAGGCGCTTATACACTTGATCTGATTGCGCCTCCGAAGTTAACTTCGGAGATCACTCAGTTGCCAACGCTCGAACATAAAAGGTTCTTGCGTGATCTGCGTAGTGGCAAAGTCAAGCAGATCTGCGTACTCGTCGCTGACGACGAGTGTGTAGCCGACATAAGGTCAGCAACAGTGTTCACTGAGAACGAGAGAGTTCTCGGTAGTTCATCTATGGACGAGTGTGTCCTAGATGAAAAGACACGAGTTGAGCGATATAACTCCCAATCATGGGAATCGCTCAAGACAAATCATCTCTATGAAGATTTGGTTGAATATAAGGATGTATTCCCTGAAACTGTTCCGTGCGAATTACCGAAGGATAAAGGTATTCGACACGAGGCCGAGCTTAAACCAGGCTCGAAGTACTGTGTCATGAAGCAGTGGCCACTGCCTCGTGAACAAGTACTTGCGATCGACAAGTTCTTTGCCTATCGTTTAGCTGCGGGCCATGTGAGGGAATCAACTTCCCCACATAGCTCTCCGACCTTCTGTGTGCGAAAAGCAACAGGAGGGTGGCGGATCGTGCATGCATTTAACAAGTTGAATGCTGCAACTGTACCGGATCAGACGCCGATACCAAGGAAGGACGTAATCATTGATGGTATGTCAAAGAGTACCATCTTTTCGTCCATGGATTTGATGGATGGCTTCTATCAAATCCTTATGCGAGAACGGGATATACCCTATACCGCAGCGAGCACGCCTAGCGGCATGCTCTGGGAATGGCTAGTAATGCCACAAGGGCTTAGTAATGCCCCTGCCACGTTCAACAGATGTGTATCACATCTGTTGAGACCAGTACGAGAATTCGCGCCGAGTTATTTCGGTGACGTATTCATTTATAGTCGGGCTATGGATGGACAGTCGGATGTTGAGGTTCACAGGTACCACGTCCGACAGGTTCTTACAATCATGCGAAAGCATCAATTGTATGCAAACCTCAAGAAGTGTATATTTGCAGCAAGCGAAATACCACTTCTTGGGTGCATTGTTGGTAAGAACGGTGTACGTCCTGATCCCGAAAAGATCAAGGCGATCACCGACTGGCCTGTGCCGGTTGATGTCAAAGGTCTTCAAAAATTCCTTGGGCTAGCGGCGTATTTGCATAAGTATTCACACAATTACGCCGAGATGACTGTGCACCTCTCTCGTTTGTTGAAAAAGAACGAGAGGTGGTTATGGAACGCTGAATGTCAGCGCTCCTTTGATGGTATCAAGCAGAGCTTGATACAATACCCAGTCCTAGCAATAGCCGATCAGGACAGGCCAGTTCATGTGGTCTGTGATGCCAGCGATTTCGCAAACGGCTGTGCATTAATGCAGTACGACCTAGAAGGCGTTGAACGCGTCGTCTGCTATCAGTCGCGTCAGCTGCTACCAGCTGAGCGGAACTATCCAGTGCATGACAAGGAAATCCTTTCCATGAAGTATGCACTCGCGAAGTTCAGAGTCTATCTATTAGGAGATAGACCCTTCATTGTTTACACTGACCATGCGTCATTACGCACAGCAGTGAACAGCCCGCACCTTTCACAACGAATGGCGCGGTGGTTGTCATTCTTTGCAGAATACAACTTTACGGTCGAGTACAAACCAGGACGACTTAATGTCGTCGCTGATGCACTCTCACGTCGTCCCGACTTTGAACCAGTCGTGAAACCGAACAGTGAGACAGCCACTGTTGCGGTTATGACGTCCTCAGTCCCATCTACAACGTTGTATGATGATGTGAGGCGGGCATACGCCCAAGATGGTGAGATTGTGAAGTTGTTGACACATCTCTCCCAACCATCTCGAGAATCGTTGAAACGATTGTCGCCTGCGTATCGATCTGCATCAGATCGATACACTACTCACAACGGGTTACTGTATTATACAGCCGTTTCTGGTGACACACCACGTGTTGTCATTCCAGATGATACTGATCTGCGTTTGCGGATCATGTTCGAGTATCACGATGCTCCTATAGGGGGACATCGTGGCCGTGAGAAAACATATCTCACGGTGAGTCGAGACTTTTACTGGCCCCGCCAGTATCAGTTTGTGCGAAAGTATGTTCGCGCATGCGAAGTCTGCCAACGAATGAAGTCAAGTCCTTCACTGCGTGCACCTTTACAGCCTCTACCGGTTCCGGCAGAGTGCTGGGAATCCATCTCAATGGATTTCGTCTTCGGGTTACCCAAAGACGCACGCGGGAATACGGGTATTCTCGTCTTTGTTGACAGATTCAGCAAAATGGTACACCTTGTGGCTGTACCAGAGTCAATCACGGCAAGTGGCTGTGTTTGTGTCTTTATTGTCACCATCTTCCGACTTCATGGGTTGCCCCGTGAACTCGTATCAGACAGAGATCCACGATTCACTGCTGATTTCTGGCGTTCCGTGTTCAAATCACTCGGAACGCGCTTGAAGATGTCAACATCTGATCATCCAGAGTCAGATGGTCAGACGGAACGTGCCAATCGTGTCCTTGAAGAGATACTTCGAGGATACGTACACTCCTTTAAGAGTTGGAGTGAGTTTTTGCCGATGGTAGAGTTTGCCATCAACAACTCGGTGCATGCGTCCACGACACATACACCGTTTTACGTGAATGGCTTGCGCCATCCGCGTGTACCCACCTTACTAGAGTGTAACTCTGGTTTAAGGGGGGAGGGACTCGCGCGAGCAAAAACCGATTTGGTTCACGCTCATCACGCTCTGACGAAGAAGTCATTGCGTTTGATGCCGATATCGATAACATCGATATCGAAGAAGATGATGCCAGTGAGGTGCGGAAGCCCTCACTGAAGACAATGATCCCAGTGAGAGTGCGGAAGCCCTCACTGAAGAAAAGGTTGATGTTGCTGCAGTGCGCTCACAGCACACTGAAGCTAACGAGTCATCAGATGAGTTCATACTGGCTCGTGAAACGGTAGTCCGTTTTGTGCAAGACTCCATCGCCGAAGCGGTGGATAAGCAAAAGCAAAACGCTGACAAGAATGGAAGGGCAAACACTCTTTTATTTAATAAAGGTGACTTAGTCCTACTGTCTACGGTTAATCTACCAAAACATGTAGTGACTAACTTGGGTAGCAGTAAACTACTACCCAAGTACATTGGCCCATTTCGTGTATTGCACCGCCTAGGCAATGCATACACGATCGAGTTACCACGTAAGATGCGAACGCATCCCACGTTTTACGTTGGTCGGCTTAAGCCGTACCATCAGTACGCTGCTTCTTCCGATGAAGAACGCCCTTGCGCTCAAGCATCTCGCAGAGAGCCTTGTGCTCCCGATGGTGGGCATCAACAAGGGTCTGAAGAGCAGTTATCTCAGCCCGAGACCGATCAACAATCCCACGAGCTACCCTTAGCTCGTCACGAAGAGATGTCAGAGATCTCTCGTTCTCAAGCTGAGCAAAGGCAAACTCAGCTCGATGCTTCGAGGCAGTGTCCACCATCTGGAGACGCCTATTCCGCTCATGCTCGAGATCGTCGCGTAACCCTTGCGTTACGCGATCAAAGATGCTCTCGGGAACACACCGATCCACATGATCGTGTGGAGAGCGTCTTTCCTCCTCCTCCACCTCCATTAGAGGACTCTCGCGGTGGCCAGCGCTATCTAGTTGAGCAGCTGTTGAACCACCGCGACGTGAACGGACGTCGGACGAGTTACCTCGTCCGGTGGCGCGGCTATCCCCCGTCCTGGGATTCTTGGGAGCCCCGCTCCCAACTGATGGTTGACGTACTGGGTCTGGTTGAGCAGTACGACGCGGCACATCCTGTGCCGCAGAAGTACCGCCGGAGAAAGTCTTCCCGGCACGGTCGTAAAGGGATTTCAGGTTGTCAATCCCTTCGTACATCTCAATAGAGATACGTACGCGCCACCACGGGCTATTAGGGAGGTAGGCTTCCTTAGGTGCTCGTGCAGAGTTGTTCACACAACATGGGCACGAGTCTCCCCAAGAGAGGCAGGGTAATCCTTTATCCTTTGACAGACGATGCAGCTTGTAGCGTGCACCTGTCGGGGTTCGCTTTTCAAACTTATCACGAGCTTTGATAAGTTTGTCGTTTCAAACGTCACGACCTACATCCTCAAGGTTATGGATGTAGGCGTTCCACGCTTGAAGTAGTGAGGGACCATCACGCTTGTGATTCCAACTGTACCATCGATGTCTAAAGGAAGCATCGATGAAGAATTCATTCTCAGCGCGATAGTTTTTCGCGCTGGGGTCAAGGTGATGGATCCTTGACGAATCGAACAACCGTGTTCGATAACGATCACTCGTCGTCGCCGACAAGTGACCATGACAGATTTAGAAAGCATCCATGCCTTCTTCTCAGGAGCTAGACGCAACACACTGCGGTCCCGCTCTTCCTGCGACGTGCCGACAGAAGTACTGGCACCTCGTTGCGAAGTGGTGTCCATAGTAGAACTGACACCACTGTTAGCGCCCGAGTCTCGCGACCTCGAGCGCCTTCGCTTCGGCGATGGTTCAGCTGATTCATCAGATGAACCAAAGATGCTGCGACGCATAGCATCATCCATGCCACGCTTGGCAGGCGGCTTGGATTCGATCGCCGTCGATACGTATCCGTCTTCCGTATCAGGTGAGTACGAGACACCGAGCTCATACTCTGTGAAGACATGAGTGTCTTCATGACCAGCGCCTGCATCACCAAGTGACACAGGCTGAGTCGCTTCAGCAACCGATGACACATCAGTTGCTGTGGTTTCTGCTTCGGCGTCCGCACAGAGACGTGCGGACGCGCTCTCGACGGCCTTGCTCGCGCATCGCATGGGCTTGTTAACCATGCGATGAGATGTTGGAAAGTGGACTTGGACCAACAAGTGCAAACCATGTCCCAAATGATTTGGGACGAGTATCCATTTAGTCAATCAGTCACAAAAGTGACTGATGGTTAAGGGGGGGGTGATGTAACGGGGTGAATCGTTACATAACAATTTATAAGAAATTGTTGATAAAATATAATAATTAGAGTTACACTCTCAGAATATTGTCATAAGGACAAATATTCTGTAGCACTTACGAGTAGTTCCTAATTGGTTGATATAGGCCATTATATCAACCAACGAAGACGCGCCACGACAGACGCACGCAATGAGTGGTGAGCAGATAGTTGATTTACACATTTGTATTCAGACGTAGTTAGATGACGATAAATAGTGATTGATTGCAGACATTAACTATTATAAATACAGTTCTACTTTTTACTTTAACCAAGTACTCGCTTCTTCTTACCGTCTTCCTCTGCACGTACGAGTGTACGTGAAGTTACGAGGCACCGCCTTATTCTGTCATCAGAATAAGTAGCTTGTACTGTTACCAGTACAAGCTTCAGGGTGCCCCGTTACAGTGAGGGAGAAGTAGGTAGAGGAATAACGACGATAAATGACAGAATCCTTGTACTACAGTGCTTTGTATTACTCCTCTAACGGTACAAATATCGAGCAATTACTTATTGGAGGATAACGAACCGGATGGAGCACGGGAAAAACATGGTTGCGTGTGAACTTCACAAGCAAGTGCTTGTGCTGCACTTCTAATTTCGTGGTAGTAAAGCAGTGATTGACTGTGAAGTTAAAAGCGTGTGGCTGCAAAGAAACCAGAATGACGTAGTATGTAGAGAAAGTCAATATCTAATGGAATAGATACATGCTTACTTCAAACTGGAGCGTTAAGCAATCCAGCGAAGGTATTCTACTCGGGCACAATTTTGCCGACCGATGGCGAGTTTCGTACTAAGTAAGACAGGAATAATGGAATTATCCTCACCAGTTGCACATTCAACAGGGTCGTTTGGATCACGTTGACCGGACTTTGTATCACGATTACTATCAGCAAACACAGCCACAATGCTTTCAGCAAACTATCGTTCTTTTGGTGTATCTGGACGAGACAATTTTCTAAAGAATTTGTGGCTCTGGCAAAGACTCGTTGTTCGAGCTCTTGAGTCCGAGAGACAACGTTTATAGTATTCCGTCAACATGATACAATAACAATCGGGCAGTTGAAGCACCGATAAAAAGTAAGTACTGATTCGCTTTTTGTAGAAATCATTCGTCATGTGCGTATAATGCATGAAGTACATCTGGCGAAGTGAAAATGTATCGACAACGCTTGACCAACCGAGGACTCAGACGTGCCCTAGACAATCTGCACATTGCGACTCGATTGTGGTGCAAACTTCTCGGAACAACGTCTCAACAGCAGTCGAACTAACAGCACCATCAGCTTTCCGGTCATAGTCGTAGCCTGGAATCCAGATGAGTCCGTCGTGAATGATCCGCACAAACACTGGCACATTTCGGTGCATCAGCTGCTTGTACCCACGTTGTCGCCAACTCTCGAGAAGTAAACGGGCGGTGGTTGAAGCCGAACGGCGATGGCGTCGCGTGCTGACCCTCGGTTTGGCAGCTGTTGGCTCATTCCCGATGCTGAGGCCGTAGCCGATTCCTGTCCCGTCCGCAATTCGTTCGTCATCGAGCACGAAACCTAGCGTCCGGGTCAACACGACAGCAAAAGATTCCAGTACCTTGACAGGAAGAGGCAGAAAAACGGAAGCTATTAGCGGGTGAATCTGCACGCGCGAGACACTTGAGTACTCTGGCACACGACGTAAGTCCAAGCCCACTTGCTTGGCTCGACGCCGTATAGTTCCTACAAAATCGTCCGCAGCAACTCCACTGCATGCTAACCAACGCACATCCAGGTGATAACACCGCGAGACGTCCATTGTTTCTTCCAGACGCATCACAACCCATTCCGTCCGAGAGTCTTTGAGTTTCTTTTTCGGGGCGGATGACGGTGACGCAGTCGAAGTTGACACTTTACACGCCATTTTAAAACTTAGCATGCGACTTTCAGTAAGCGGCACGGCTTTTTCGGTTTCCTCTGTATCGCCAGGACGGTTCAACACCATCCTGATATCGATGTGCTCGTGATCACCAAATTCCGAAGGAGCGACGCGAGATTGCAGGTACACAATGAACTTGGTGAAATTCGATGCATATAATGTCAGAAGATCACCGTCACCAACTGACTTTGCACAGACTGGTGGTACAATTGCAAATCGGACTCGGCGACATTTTGTTCCATCTGCCATGTCGTCAAGGTAGCCACAGAGCAAATTGTCCAGCGCGTTCCAGTTATCCTCCGGTTGCGGATAGCGGTGGAACAGCTGCTGGTGAGGCTGAAATAATTGAGTTAGCCCGACCCATAGCGAATAAGTGTACGAAGTGTAGGCAACTTTCAGGTCATGTGGCTCACGTTGGACGAACCTCTTTACCTCGACGGTTTGCCGCTCTGCGTCGTAAATGAGCTGGTGGATACGGTGCCCCATACTCAAATGAAAGACCCTTTGCCGACTCTCCGGACGCGATTCATTACCTACTATTGACGAAGGCGATTCATAGCTTGAAACCAGCTGAAAATCACAAGCTAGTCGCTGGCAAATCATCTCGGTCAGCAATTCGTCATGATTGCGATAGCGCGGCACGCATTCGACCGTGGGCGCCTGTATTGCCGTCGTGGGTAGAGTCAGCGTGTAAAATGCTTCAGAGTAGCCTTGACGCAGCTCTTGTGGAGATGGAAAGTGATCGGTCGTCAACGGAAGTATGGCTGGAGACGTGAGACTTGTCCAGTTTGGCCCAACGAACATCGGTTCGTCATCGTGCACCACCGCTTCTGAAAATGTGTTGTCCACTGTACAATGGGTCCCATGGCTTGACGTTGGAAAAAGGTGACTCCAGCGCTGTCGGTCGCTCGATAGACGTTTGTACCCGTGAGCCTTGGCGTAAGAAAATGGGTTAATGATTGCTTTTCGTTCGCCAACAGGAGTGTGAGCAGGTTGCGTTCCCAGTAATGCCTTGAAGCTCAAGCTTCCAGGCACAAGCGGTGCTTTGAAAAAGTCGGATTGGTTCCTACGCAAACCTAGAGGTGAACCTGTGTTGCTGAATTGTCGCAGATTGCTCCTTGACCTACCGATGAAGCCATCTGATCCTGGTGGCGATGAGATAGCAGGTGAGGGACCGAACATTGACTGTAGATCGTTCACCTTGGCTGCAGCGTGTGCAGTAGGTCGACAGTCTTTGCCTCTCTTTTCCAATGGCATACCGTACCGACTGCGGTCGATAGAATTAGCAAGCGGCACTGCAAGCGAGCATGTGAGACTTGTGTCGTCCTTTGAGAGTATACGGGGTGCTGTCGCAACGCTGCGGTCTGCTCGACCGACCGTGATCGCATTATTCGAAAGCTTTCGTGGCAATAATAGCGTCTGGACCACACTGTCATCATCATCGGAAAGCACGCTTTTGCCTTTTCGAAAGCTGCCCATGTTGCCAGTACTACTGCGCTGCTCAGCTTCCTTTCTCACATCACGAAGAAACCGCTCGAGACGACCATCGTTGGCAAAAGTGACGCTGGTGACATCGTCGTGTTCTTCATTGATTCCCGGGGTGGCAAAACCAAGCCGTCGATCACGGAAGTGTCGATCAGCAGCAAATCCACTGTCCCGCGCCACTGACGAGAATACGTTCTCATCGTAAGCTGTCAATGCCGCTCGCATGTGGAGTCTGCCACTCAGATTAGTACACAACTGGCTTGAGGCAAGAACGGGGTCAAAATCCGGAGACCGACTAAGCTGCAATTGTTCCAACGGAGGTGTTGACGCTATCGGGTCGAGAAGCTTGGTTGTCGTGCATGAAAGCTGGCGCTGATTGCCTAGACTCTTAATTGGCGCGATCGCGTTGGCAAAAACGGAGACTCCTCTATTCACGCTGTCATTCGACCAGTCAGCCTCTTCATCGCGCTGAACACTAGTGGGTGTAGTGACACTGCCACTGCTAGGCCCATCTTTCGATTTTCCGCGCATCAAGTTCCGCAACATAGCCGGAAAAACCAGCTTCTCCGATGGCGAAGTGATGTCGAACATCCGAAATGATGGCAACGGGTGGAAGCGCTCGTTGCGCTTGGTTTTGCACGAGGATGAATGCCAGGCACGGCCTCCTTGCTTTTCGTGTGGCACGTGCTGATTTGAGTTTGGTGTGGCCGGCGGCTGAGCTGAGCCGTAGTTGTGGCTTGCTTGTTCACAGCTACAACTAAACTCTAAGAATGTGAGATTCACCCAATGCGGGACATCATACGTCAGCTTCTCTCCTGAGTCTTCGGATCGGTCTGCCGTGGCAGTGGTGCGTGCTGCTGACTTGAGCGTTCGACGCAGAACGTCGCTGCCAGCTTGCGCCCACTCGGATGTCTTAGGTAGGGAAGATGAGTGCAAGCTGGGTATGCCATGGGAGGGCGACCCAGCCTCAAAAGACATCAGTTCTTCGCCTAGGACTTTATGAAAAGAAAGTTTGTGCAAAGAACTTGGTGTCCAAGTGTTGGCTGTTGCTGCCTTTTCAAGTAACCCGTCGCGGTAGATGAACAACGGAACCACGTGCAACGGTGGCGTAGACAACGAAATCATGTCCATGCCAACACCGCTGTCCATCATGCGCTGCTCAGTGATCTCGGCAAGCTTACTGTCTACGTTGAAAATGCTGCATCCGGCTGTTATCATGACGACACCCTGTCCGGTGCGACAAAGGTCGCGATCCATATAATGTTTGTCCAGCACATTCAATGTCACGTTAATAGCTTCCAAGATATTGCCGTCCTTGGCTCGCGACGGAACTCCACAAGGCAGCTTTATCCATTTTACGTAGACGTCTTCACTGTCTGCACACTCTCTGTCTCCAGTATTCAATGTGGTTGCTGCTGCTGCTGCTCTGTCCACAACGTTTGCTTGTTTTGGACACCGACAGATTTCATAATGTGCAGGAGATTTCTCTTCTGGCGTGCGCCACCGATGTATCTCGTAGTACGTTGCAAACTCCTTCTTGAGAAGCAACAGCAGCCGACTCCAATCCGGTCCCGTAAAATTCATCACAACCACCTTGTAGAAATCCTCATAGTACCGACCCGAGATCGGGTCAACGTGGATCGTAGGACCATATCCCTGAGCAACATGGACACCTGGCGCACCACATCCAGGCCCAACGCCTTGTCGTCGAGGGTCAACAAACGGCGCTCGTGTAGGATCAAATCCATCAGGAAACTGGTCCACGTCGTAAAACGTCCTACAAAACGTCATGATCGTGACCGAGTGGCTCACAGAGCTCTCGGTCCACTTGCGACTCTGTACACTCAAGAAGTCATGGAGCATCTTTTCGTAATACACTTGTCCGTCCTCTGGCGCAACTTCCCACATCTCGGTGCTCATTTGCACGAGCCAGAAGAGTCGACTGGACCTCGACCGGACAACGATTTTGGTCGCGTCCCCAATGACGCCACAAAGGACGTGAGTTTTACTGGGACTTAAGATCGCGTCCACTTGTCCCCGGATGCCAATGCACTCGACCGTCCGGCCGACGTAGACACAGTGGCCGAGCATCGTGACTTTGAACCGCCACACGTCAGCTCTTGATAGGAATTGGTCCTTGAAACTCAACTCGACAAAGGCCACGACCACGTCCCGCTGCGTCTGCACACGTCGCACACTCACGCCCCGGAACGGTTCAAGGCCGAACTGGGCGGCAATGTCCCGTGCGATACTCACTTGGACTTTGCCACGGACGGGGGCGAGGGACTCGACCGACAGCACGAGCTGCGGGTGGCGGCGCTCGGACTGCACGATCTCGACCAAATCGTGCTCCTCCACGTCAGGGAAGACGTCGGGATTGAGGACAAGGAGCTCGCCGGAGCGGAACTCGGGACCGTGGACCAGGAGCGTCATCGCGTCGCGGTCGCTGAGGCTCCGATGGAGACGCCACATGAAAGCTCCAGCGTCCGAAGAGGAAGAGGAAGAGACGCTTGCGACATGGTGCTGCCCAATCAATGGCCGCACGCGACGGTTGCTGAAAGAACGATGCAGCAGTAAAGCGCTTTGTTTGCGGAGAGTGGGACACTTGACACCGGACGACGTCGATGGCGTACAATTCGACACGGACACGAAAGCTGGACGAGGCGCTGGTGGTACAATGGGACTACAAAGAGCGGCTGGCTGGCTGGGTTGCAGAGGTTGTTAGGACGCCCTATCGCCTTTTTGGGAGATACTAGCGATCACATCGGAAGAAAAAAGGGCTTCGCGTTTGGCTGGCGTCCGATATGCGCGTACTTCTACCCAAGGTATCAGAAAATCATGATCCAGGATGTAAGTACTGAAGGACTGGTCCCGGTAATCACAACTGACCCTGTAGGATGGCGCTTTGGCAACTCAATAATGTAAATAGTATGACACCCGTTGTTGCTGGCGCTACTTTCTGATGCTTTATCGTCGCTGTTACTCCACAATGCCAAATGCACGAAGTAAGCCCAAGACCTTTTTGTGCATCCGCCAATATCGATTGCTGCTGCTCGGTGGCCAGCTACGCTCTGTCTAGCTAAACTTTCGTCTGACAGGGGAATCCTAAAATACGAGCCACCAGCCTAAAACGCAAGTGGGTCGCTCACAAACAGGCGGACAGCCTAAACTCAGCGCCAGGCTATGTCGCACACTCATGTTTTTACCGAGGGAAAATGGAAAAATGCCCTAGATACTTGAAAGTAAAAATGGACTGATCAAGTAGACACCCATACTTTCTACGTGGACACCCCCTCGATAAAAAGAGGGTTTTGCTAAATATACCCCACTTTTTACTAAATACACCCCGTTTCCCACGCTCGTACTGAATTACTACATCATTTGCACGACAAACATTGTGCTACCATCCCAATGTACGACCACGATCACACAACAATCTACGTCTGGCGCACAAATGAAAGTGGTTTACTAAGAGAGCTACTTTTAGCACGCAATGAACGACTAAAGCACTTTGCATCCCAAAACGGCTTGACCGACGACCATGATGCACTCGTCACTACTGTTTTTATCTTTCAGAAATTGCAACAGCCAGGTTTAGTCGAGAAAGGTACAAAAATGAATGAAACAAAAGCCCACTTTTCACCAAACGTAATCGGAAACATTAGTCGCAGCGGACATTACCTCTTAGGACGGGAAGTTGTAACAAACAGCTATATGCATTTTGATCGAGCCTATCCTGGATCTGGTGTAGGACCAGGCCATTGCCTGTCAAAAAAGAATTTTTAGGTAAACCTACTTATCGTCCGCAAGAAAAATACCGATTGTTGTGCAAAAGTGGTCGTACAGAGGTATAACTCACCAAATCTATCGTACAAATCGTATTGTGGTTTGGTGTAGGTGTGGGGTATGGGGTGTATTTAGTAAAAAGTGAAAAACGTTTAACAATTCCCTAAGAATATATAATCTTCACTTACAATAATGGTGCCCCCAAAAATTTAAGACGCAACTTTTCACTTCTAATGAGCATTGAGGTATGCCGTGTAAGCCGCGGGTCCAGCGCCGGCAAGTCCCGTGTACGTAATTGTGGTCGTCCTCTCGCACCAGCTGTGGCAGATGCAATTTAACAAAGGTGGACGAGGAAGTTTTGGCGTTCGTGTTGTCACATATTCGACTGCTACACCGCTGGTTTTACAGATGCCAGGTTTGGGTACGATAACTTGATGAAGAACATTACACAGATGTAGGTGATCATCAGCTTCACTCTATAGCTTCTCTTTCATTCATACAGATGTAGATAATTATGGCCAGATGTTATGGTATACTGTTGTAGCGTCTCCAAGTATGAAACAGAGCGAAAAGTAATTGGCGATCCACGATGCTGCCGTGTAAATTTTGATCTCCCTGTGCGCTTTCTTCAATACACGCCGACAAAAGAAATCTCAACTGATGCATTGCACATCCTTAGACACAAATATGCGCAATAGTTGCACTCTCTGCAGCCTCTAAAGACTTACATAAAGTGTCTGTTGGCAGTGGCTCAGGCATTCGTTCAGTACGTACAAATGCATTATATGGTGGGTCAAACGTAAGATTGATTGGTCGGTACTAAATTCTCAGCAAAAGTGAATAGCGCACATCTTTCCGTATTTATCTCTTGCCACCAGCCACATTCTCCTCTTTACAAATCAGCTTTCATGGACACGTAGTTTTGGCTGTGTGTGTCTCTGAGTGCACCTAAACATGAGATTAGGAAGGAGGATATGCCGAATTCAGGCGGGATCATAATCAGTTATCCAGTCATTCCTCATCCGTTCCTCGGATAGCTCATATCCTCATGCTCATGACAATTATAGATGTATGAGTTTTCCGAGGGATAAAGTACATGCGTTTGTACTCATGAGATAAGGAACTCATACTCCTGTAAAAAGTTGCAAAATCAAAGAAGGACTAAGTATCTAAGTGCTCTAAACTGGCATATACAAGCAATTAGGATGATCTGAGTGGTGGAAGCCATACAGACATCTATCGTGCTATTGGCATCAGCCGTGTAGACATTATAGATCCGTGCCTTAACGAAAAAGTAAAAAATGTTACTGAGCTGACAATGCCGTACTTTGATTTTTTGCAAGGGCTAAATTAATTCTGATTTTATATTTCTTAAAACCCACAATCTACGAATATGGAACTGTCTTCTTTCACCAAGCCAAGATTGTTGTCAGTATTTTCGAACATCAGTACAACTAATCCTCACGCATTTTTGTTCATGTTGAAAACATTGTAGGGCTAAAAGTGAGCGATTATAGACCTAAAGTTAGGTAATTCTACATCCACTGACCTACTGTCTCAGCTTGCTTCACTACCGATAGCGATGCGACTATCCACTAAATAGCTTGATGGTGTCCTCAGGTAGGCCAAGACGTTCGGATACCACCTATACCTTAACCTCAATTATTTCTCCAATCAAGGAGATATTCCTTGTTTATTATTTTAATCACCCAAGTTGTCAAGTCTTCTTTTGGCTTCGGACGCTGAGCACATCCCGGGATTTTGTCAAAATGTTCGTTATCTGTCATAGATTCTAGATCAGTGCGCTCCTCGATTTTGAGGGAGACATCGTTCTAGGTAAGATGATTTACGAACTTGCTGAAAGCCTAATTTGCCAGAACACTTAAGCTCGTTTTAGTATTATTGGCCTTGTGCTAGCAAATCTCGAGCCTTTGTGCATTGGCAATAGTACTCGGTACATGTCTACATAAAATTATAAGGGGAAATCTCTAGATCACTGGGTTTTCCTTTTCACAAAATAAGTTGGAGATCTATGTAACTCATAACTCGGCTAATTCATAGCATTCTCTTCATCAATACAACGAGTTATCTGAGGAATGACTGTACACAATAGGTGCGATATGAGAGGAGGAGGTCCAATATTTTGCACTGTACTTTAGTTATCTCCCTTAGCTTTTTTACTGGTCACCGGCATTTAAGATGTTCATCAAATCTATATTCGATGGTTGTTCGCGTTGTAAGCAGAGGCACTAGCACTGTAGGATACTATATCTTTTATCCATAAGGTGTTCGCGTTATAAGTAGGGACACCAACATATAAGATAAAGACAAGACCTTTAGCCAAGGTGCGTTCGAGTGTGCGCAAATGCGCCGGTATATTCGATAAGGATTACATTTTTGTCAGGGGTGTCCACGTAGTAAGTAGGGGGTGTCTATCCTAGGCAGTCTAAATGCCTCACGCTCTAGTATGCGCATGTTGACATGGCACACACATACCGACATTGTGCTTCTACAAAGCACTTTACCCATTATAATCACCATTTACACGCAATGTGCTATAAGTCAGACTTACAAAACTGATGAGTTCAATTACAGTCACGCCGATATTCACCACGACAAAGTGACCGTGTGCTATGCTCGTGTATCAACGCCACACTATGTCAATACATATCTGCAAATGGCAAATGAACGAAAGCTAAGGTCAAATATAGCGGTTGTGTAGTCCTTTAAAGTTCGGAAGAGCCATCACTTACTACCACTTTACTTTATAAAAACGCGTTTCGTAGTTCTGTAGCAAAGCAGTATGTGGTGTGGCACCCCGATGTGAACTTCAGAGGACCGTATGCCAAGTTCTGACGGATACAGTACGAAAAAGTAACACAATCTCGTTAAATTTCGTACCAAATGTTTCAATGCTAAGTGCGTTTGGATCTTTACATTATGACATATATGCGGGAGTGTGTTAGTATTCTAACCAGATTGACTGTTCTGTGTATGTTGTCATTTACTTGTGAACTCTCCACGTCCAGCGTTTATCCTTAGATTATTGAATCATTAGAGCATTAGTGAGTTTCTACAATAGCACTTACACATTTCCAACAGCACCGTTACCTTTCCGTATTGCTTTGTAACGTGCTCCATATTGTACACAGAAATGTTCACGAGGCAAGTTGAGACGGCACAATCTTATCTTATATAAAGAGGAAACGACAAGTCAGATTCACAAATTTACGAGGTCAATACAAACGTCCAGACGATTTTGTACAATAAAATAGACACATGTATCGGTAAAATATGTTTGAGGCAACGTCGCTCTTTTCCTGCTTACAATGCGCCTGCAGTCAATGACGACTGAAATATTTATAATTAATAGAGCAAAAGACAAAGAGATAGAATGGATCCATCATAGTCTGCTAAAACAGATCATTTGTAAAGAAATTGGAGCTAATTGGCAGAAAGCAAATACCATTTTTACAACTAATAACTACGACAGCAGCACTGTAGAACCAACAATACCACAAAAGATTTGTAACACCATGAACGCCAGCAGCAGTAGCAACGATAGCATCAGCAGCAGCAACAATTACAGCTACACCAGTACCAACAACATCAATAACAACAGCCACAATAACAAACGTAGTGTCAGTAACAAAAGCAATAACAAGAACAAAACAGCATCACAAACA